GAGAGTGTAGTATTTTAGTTGAGAGTAGTGTAGTATTTTAGTTGAGAGAGTGTAGTATTTTAGTTGAGAGTAGTGTAGTATTTTAGTTGAGAGTAGTGTAGTATTTTAGTTGAGAGTATTTTGTGATTTTTAGTTGAGAGTAATGTAGTATTTTAGTTGAGAGAGTGTAGTATTTTAGTTGAGAGTATTTTGTGATTTTTAGTTGAGAGAGTGTAGTATTTTAGTTGAGAGTATTTTGTGATTTTTAGTTGAGAGTAGTGTAGTATTTTAGTTGAGAGTAGTGTAGTATTTTAGTTGAGAGAGTGTAGTATTTCGAGATCACTACAACTGCAATCCATTCTCTTCTCTTTTTAGTTCGATAATTGCACCTTTCTTGGAAACTTTTGGGTGATAGGAGTTGAACTGAAGAAAAACATGTTCTATTTCATTGGTTTGTGAAACATCGTAGATTTTATATTATTGTCCATCATTATGGTAACGTCGATAAACAAGTTGTATTAAAGTAACACAGTTAAAAAAAAACCTAACAAGTAACGTGACCTCTAGGCCTTGTAGCTGAAGCAAAGACATTTCACTCTCTGGAATTGCTCTGTTAAATTCTTCTTATAAGTTATAGGGTTGCGTTGTCTTAATTATCAGACTCTCCGTTAGTCCCAGCTCGCTAAAGCTGCGAAACAAAAACCTACAAATGACGTTTCTGCTGACACGCATCTCACAAGCATTGTCTATAAAGCTGTTCCTCTGTTGTAGCTTTGGGTAGGGTGATACTAAACCACGTGATTCTGCAATGAATACAGAAACTGATGAGATCGTGGCTGTGATAAAACGAACCTTTTCACATAAGCTTGTATCAATGCCCAATCGGTCAGACCAACCAAACTCGTTCTACTATAAACAAATATAAATTAGAGTTATAAGGCCGTTTGTTACTAGTATCAAAATACGTTTGGTACCTGCTGGAGCTTTCTTACACAACCATGGGAACTGATGTAGAAATACGT